CATAGCCTTTATATTCTAGTCCCCATCGAACTTAGGTATTTTGAATATCCAACTAATAGTAATGGGTATACAAGCATGGCAATTTTTTAACTTCTTATTATCTATTTTTTTTTTCTAGTAACTATAGAATCCAAAATTATGATTCGAACTCCACATTTCTTAGCCGAAATTCTATATTCAAATAGTCCGTGTTCTTTCAAGCTCTTCTAATGCTCATATTTGCGTTCCGCAGCTTTACTTCCGTCTAATATCATATTTGTTCTTCTTCTATATTATCTATTTGTATGACTCTTGATTTTCAAAGATTTATACTGTTTCGCTTCATATATTTTCCAAAATAGAATCAGGCTGACCTTCACATACCCACTGCAATGAAGACTTAAAAAAATCATTTATTTTGTGTTCATTTCAACTGCACTGGTTTAACAATTGACAATCAAAACAGTTTCCAAATTCTAAACTATTTTTGGGATAAAATTAATAATACACACACACATACATACATACAAATGAAAATATAGGCATTTGAAGCATTTTGGTCATAAATAAAAAACCCGTTTCAATAAATAGAAGACTTTGAACAGACATGCGAAGAAGAATTTTGAATTGAAAAATAAAAAAAAAAACTAAAGAAACTGAACACCCAACATGGCACTAGGCAACCCAAGAGATTCGAGTAGTAGAACAACTTTACTCATCACTAAAAAAAACTAAATAGTTGAAAAATAAAATTCTATTTATTTTTATGAATCAATATCAAGTTTTGGCTTTACGTCAATGGTCAGATTTTGTATGTTTTGATCGGCATCTGAGTCTTTAACCTGTTGTATTTAAATTTCAACAAATAATATGACATATAATTTAAATGCAACAGGTTAAACACTTAAATGCCGATCAAAAAATCATTAATGTTTAATAGTTGGAATGTTAGAATAATAATTGTCTAAGGCAGCTGCATGTAATAATAATAAATAATAAAAGCCTACAACAACAACAAAACACACAAATTGTCTAACAAGTCTTGTAAAATGACCTTGAACTTAAACCAGATTACGGGTATTTATTCTAGTTTCAACTTCACCTTGATATTTTATTTTCAATTTGAATTTGTATTTGCATTACAAAATGTGTTGTTGCATTTTGCATTACAAAAACAACAGTTGGTGAAGTATGTAAGGCGTTGAAAAGAATTTATAGTTGTTATTTAAATTGGAAAAATGAACACAAAGTGGAATTCCAATAAAAATACAAAGAAAGTACAATAATAAAAAATAAAAAGGGAGAAAAAAACGGGCTAGAAGATAACGAAATGCGTAACCAGGTCCTTGTACATACCGAACATGTCGATTGACCTTTGTATGAGTAATGAAAATGCCAAATTACAGTTAATTCGCTTGAAACACGAATGCCGAAAAATGGGGGTTATAACAAAAAATGGACCAATATACCCCATTTTCAATACCAACGATCCCTGTAGTCGTAGCAAAGTATGTGCAAAATGTCAAAGCTCTATTTTCAATATTGCAAGCTCTATAGCAAGGGCTAAATCGACATAGAATTTTATTCTGATCAAGAATTTATACTTTATGGGATCTCAGGAAAATATTTCTAAACATTCAAAAGGTCGAAAAAAAATATAAACATAATTATATTTCTAGGAATGACAAATTTAATGTATGAAAAATCCAAACTTCTTATGGGCCTAGAAAAATAGATTTTTTTTAAATCCAAGCTTCTTATCGAAAATGAGAAGTCATAAACTGGTAGCTATGTAAAAATAATAAAAACAATATCGCAGTTAAAGAATTCTGCAAAGAGTTTGTTTACGGAGACCTCTTCATGCCTTCTATTGATCCTAGACGGTCATTATAGGAACTCTATAGATTTTCGGCCTTTATATGCCTTTCATTGACCAAAAAGACCTTTGACGGGCTTCTGATGCGCATATAAGACCTCTAAAGAACTCTTTTAATCGTAGAATTCCTCCAACAACCTTCTTTTGATGTAAAATACCTTTTATTGGTCAATGAAGACCTCTGAATATGGAATTCCAAATTACAGCTACTTCTCTTAGAAAAGCAGGATAGAGCCTTCAAAACACATAAAATAGTTCTTAACCTTTACATGGTACCCAACTCCAAAAATGTTTCTACGATGAAAATTTGCTGCGAGTACATATTTTATCTCCACAGAATCCGCAAAATCAGTCTCTTCCATTGGCAAAGATTCTAAATGGATTGCATTGTGTGTCTACGACTATCAAAATACTGAAAATTGAGCGAAACATTATATTCTACGAAGATTATTTTTACCCTTCTAGAATCCACATTACGGCTACTTCGGTTCAAAATACCTAAAATCGGTCAACATCCTTTTATGGAAACTATGCCAAAATGTGGACCTATTTTTTATCTTTAGCATATGCCAAAAAGTGGAACCATAATCCATAATTAACCGTAATCGAAGTCGACGTTTCTCAACTGTCGAATATATTCACTATTCAAAACATTCGCTTACTTGCGAGCAGTATTTTTAATCGTTGGTACCCTGAAATTCTATATTCGACAGTGTATTATAGCTTTGTGCAGTCCCAAGAGTTTGTAATGCCGCCAAATATTGGTCTTAGATCCACCTTTAAGTATACCTAGCTGAGTCGATCTAGACATGTGTGTCCGTTCGTCCATCTGTCCATTATAATTTGTAAACTCGATACAGGAGACAATTATGGACCAATCTTCACGAAAGTTTGCATGTAGGATGGGTTCTGGCCAATGAACCCGTCCATAATATTTAGGGGATGAAATGGACCAAAAACTTTATTTTTGTCTGATTTTCTTGTCGCTCCAGAAGCCACAATTATGGCCCAAACATCGAATTTTTGCATAGTGAAGGGGATCTGGCCATGGAATAATAAGGATGCCTGTTTTGATAAAGATCGGTCAATATTTAGCGGGTCAAATGGACCGTGACTACGTACTCAGATATTATTTAGTAACCCTGATCAGATAATAATATTGGGATGAAGTGGGCGGAAAATTAATTTTTTGTGTTTTTTAGAGTCGATCTATTGAAAGGCGGTGAAGGGAATCTGGACTCGTAATTAAAAAAGCAGTAGAGAATATTAGTAATATTCAGCATATATGTAAGTGTAAGAAAGAGGTGCTGTTGACCTCTAATCGGGCAAGAGAGTGCAACTATCACGAAATATCGGAATAAAAAAATACGCAGGAAGTAGGAGTTCCGTGGTAGTTGTGTAGGGTATCGTACAGTCGGCCCCGTCTGACTATACTGCTCCGCTCATTTTAAAGATTGGGTCTATTGGGACCATTTGAGAATTTGAAATTCCTAATTATAATAATACGAAAATGTGTCAAGTCCTTAAAATACCTAATTGTAGCCACTTCGGTTGGAACACTTTAAAAAGTACCTTTTAAGGCAGAAAAACTTCGAAAATATTCTGTAAACATCAGTTAAATCTATCCTACACACCGAAGACCTTTTAAATATTTTCTACATATACAAAATAACTTATATAAAAGGTATTTAAGTAACAGAAGCCCCTTTAAATGCTTTCAAAAGAGAAGTTCATCTGCAGGTTTTCTGTAGACTATAGACCCACTTCTAAATATTTTCTATAAATGTCCTTATACATTTATATACAGAAAACTAGAAACCATTTTACTGGTCCTCTGTAGACATAAGACCTTCAAAAGATAGTCCAACTACCTTCTATAAAGAGAAAATCCTCATAAGATTTACACACAGAAAACCTGCTCATGGTCCTCTGAAGATAGAAGACCTTCTGAGAGGTTTTTTATAAACAAGGAATCGAAAAGTGTCAGGAATCGATCGGGGTCCTTATATGTGGATTACGCTAAAAAGCAAACAAATATTGATCATTTTCAGCCGGAGTTATTTTTATCAAATTTTTAGGTTGCAAAATGGAGTAGTACATTAAAATATTGGACGGGACCTTGAAATGCCAGAGTTAAGTTTCGTCAGACCGGACTTTTTATACCCTCCACCATGAGATTTACATTTTATATGACCATGGTGGAGGGTATAAAAAAAGGAGGATAGGGTCTATACTAAAATTCGGTCGGAACCATATACGAACAGAACATCCTCGTAATATCTTGGTCATCTACAAATTGGAGATGTTATATTGCTCGAAATTTTTCTAAAGGACTTTTATAGACAAACTACCTCCGAAATGTGTAGACAGAGGTTCTTCTAAAATATCATTTTGTAAACTGAAAACTTTTACTAGACCTTCTGCAGACATATATTTGTAAATATGCATATGATGTCTGAAAACACCTGCCTCTGGTATGCATATTTTTGTTTAATAAATAATTAATAACAAAAAAATCATTTGACAATATATTCAAAACTAAATTGAACAAGTGTTTATGGCGATAAACATTTTTTTCTTAAAAAAGCTGTTGTTCTTCTTTGATTACTGAATGCACAAATTGTCTGCTGAGCATTCTGTGCCATTGACTTGTCGTGTCATGATTTATTAACGCATTTGCATGGAAAAAGTTCAAATCGTCGCTGTAGAATCTCCATTCCAACAATTGCCATCATTCATTGATTTATTGAATTTTAATGGCAATTCCAAAACAAATCAAAACGAAAAGACACCCATTTGAATATTCCAACAAAGTGGTCATTTCTGTGAGACTCACCTAGGCAACCGGTGGCCATCCAGTCAACCAACCAACTAACCCATCATCAATTAATGTAAATATGAGTGGTAGTAGCAACTGCCAGACCTAGCAACCAACCAACCATCCTACCTACCTACATACCCTAACTACAAGACAAGTTCCACGAAACAAGCAGAGGAGCTGTGTGAGAGTGCCCAACATGGCCTAAGTGTGGACTTGTCAAGTAGCCACGCTGGTCGGTCGGTCGGGTTGTTTGGTTGGCTAGCAGCGCTTGGTTACGGTTACGGTTACGCTAACGCCAACAACGCTGCATGGAATGTCACTTACCTTGAAGAAGATGCCAAGATAATAACGCTTTTCGCCAAGTTTCAACAGCGGCATCGTCCATTTGTTCATGTATTGCGTATCGTCTACACAGTGTGGACAATCTGCAAAGGTAACAAAAAAAGAGATGGAAGATTAAAAATGAAATAAAATTATTCAAAGAAAACAAGTAGAGATTACTATTAATAAAAAATAAACATAAATTACAATTTTGTTTAGAAATTTGAAAAAAAAAAAAATCTTACGTGGGAATATCTTTCATGTGTAGAAACTATTTCATTATTTTGACATTTAAAAAAAAAAATGTGTCATTGTTTTTTTAAATTGTAATTTTAAAGTGGGTCCATCACATTGAGCTACCATGTAAATTTGACGTTCAACAATGTTAACCGCTTTACCACTTGATTCTTATTTTAATCTTGAATTAAGTGTGTATGTGTGTGCCATTGTCAGTGACTAGCTGTCACTTATTTTATTGATTACAATACCCAAAGACATGATGTTTGTCCATATGTGAAGAACAAAAAAATTATTACATTGACATTTTAAATATTCTAAATGGTTATTTCAATTACCAGATTTGTAAGCGAGAGTTAATGGCCAAATAAAATAGCTAAATTCGTAATCGAATCGAAATATTTAAATACTATTGGCCTTGGGTAAATTAGGTGGAAAAAATTAATCAACATATGCGTCAAATCCAAAGGATAATTTTCTTTAGAAAACCAGAGAAGCAATCTGATCTGATTTAAAATTCCAAAGCGATTTCAAATTTATTTCAAACCAGTAAGGTTTACCACTTTGGGTATTTTCAAGAGATGTATCCTAAGAGACGTCGCATTTTTGAAGGACCATTGACATGATATTAGACATAATTAAATATGTGATCTGTAATTATATGTGAACCGAACATTTACTAAAAATTGGACGAAGATATACATATATGGGAGATATATCTAAATCTGAAGCGATTTTAGCGAAATCGGTTAGCCTATCCTAACTCTAGTACATTGTGTAAAATTTTATGCTAATCGCCTAATTTTGGAACTTCGGATTTCTGGATTTCTTTTTCCCCAAACTAATATATATGGAAGCTATATTTAAATCTGAACCGTTTTCCACCAATTTCAATAGGGTTTGTCATTGAGCCAAATAAATTATCTTGCCAAATTTCATCTCACTCGGATAATAAATGTGACCTGTACTTTGTTTACAATTTAAGGGGACCCCCCATTCTCGGGGTCAACAATTTTTTTGATTTAATTCGATTTTACACTAATTCAAGAATGTCTCTACAAAATTTCAAGTCAAAATCTCAAGAACTCTTGAATATATAGCCGATTTATTGTGTCAGCATCAAATGACGGCTAAAGGGTTTCTCAAACTTTAAACGCGTTTTTCTCTTTTGCGAATGGCGGGCACGATAACTCAAAAACTAATAACCCAATCGATTCCAAATTTTTACACGTTTCTCTGTGAGTGTATAGCTATCGTACGAACTAGGATAAAGCCAATCGGTGAAGATCTTCCTTATTTTTTAACTTGATTTTTGGTCAAAAATCGACGATTTTCCAAAAAATATTTTATCAAAGGTCCGCCATTTTGTTAATTTTAGAGCGGAGTCAATAATCCTAGTTCATACGAGAGCCAGACATGTACTTTTTCTAACACCGTTGGAATTTTCGGATTCCGATGTTCCAGTGAGGATTATCATGCCCGCCATCAAAAATAAGGACTTTTCTTTAATTACAAAAAACAACAACAAAACAATGACAAAAATTTTTTGTAAATTATTTTTCTTCTCTTTTAAATCTTCAAATATATATGTACAAAGTTACAAACCTTAACAAGCATTGGTATTGATTTACCAGCCCATTGAAAATCTTGAAAAATTAAAATCGAGAATGGGTGGGGTTCAACATAACATATAATAAAATAGAATTTCAGCAACATTTTGAACGTTTTGTGTGGGAGGTATCAGACATCACATCTTTGAATTGATTTAAATTTTTAAGAAATATTACGATGTGCGTATTTTGTATGAAATCGGACATTCCATGCAATAGTTATTAGGTTAACAAATTTTCAACATTAGTACCTTTGGTGGGGGAGGTTTCAAAAGAAGTAGACCAAAGAGTCCAATCTTCGAACTCGAGTTTGAATTGGTAAGAATACGAATATGTTCAGTATTTGATTCATATCGGACATTCCATTCGCTCTATATTGGATTTATAAACATTAAAAAAAATTGTGTGGACACTATCTTCGGACTTACTTTAGTATTGGTAAAAATATATTTGGGTCAAATCGAATGTCCGATTTGACACATCGTAATGTTTTTACCAACTCTAGAACAGGTCCGAAGATAGATTTATAAAAATTTTAAATTTTCACTTTACACAAATATGGTTAAAATATTAGGTTTTGTGAAGTTCGGTTCACAAATGATAAACTTATGATATAAAATTAATTTTCAGCGAAATTTTAACCATTTTATGTGGAAGGTACCAGAAGTAGTGGACCGATATTCCCCATTTTCGAACTTGATTTATATTTAGAAGAAATATTACGATGTGCGTAGTTTGTATCAAATCGGACATGCCATTCGCCTGATAATGGTTAAGATGTTTTCAAAATATTTACACTTTTTGTGGGAAGCACCAGAAGGAGTGCCCCAATGGGTCCTATCTACAGATTTATTCTAAATTAAGGTAAAAATACGATGTGCAAAGTTTGGATGATTTGTAAATTGCCTGAAACATATTCCAAAGAAACATGGGGTGTAATACCAATATTTCGATGAGGCACATTTTTGCCATAGCAAAGTGCTCAGCCATAAGGCTGAGAGTATAAAAATTCCATGCTCTGCTAATGTATTTCAAAATATATGTTTAAACCAGTGAGCTGAGCATTATAGCCGGACGGGGCCGACCATATGATACTCTACACAACATCGAAGAAAATCTAACAATGTGTGGCTCTATATTCTGAGTTTGGGCACTATTTCGCGATATTTCCACTCTCGTGACCGACTAGAGGTCAACAAATATTACTAATATTCAGTACAGCACAAAACAGCCAACGGTGAAGGGAATCTAGGCAAGTAATTAGCCTAGATTCCCTTCACCGTTGGTTGTTTTGTGCTGTCCGACTTTCAATTGTGGCCTTTAGATCGATTAAGTTTTCTGTCCACTTCATCCCAAAATTATTATCTGATTATCATCGAAAATTGTAGGCGTTGTCCTTGACCATACCTGAATCCTCATGGAAAATTTCAGAGCGATCAGCGCTATATTTTCGCCCTCTAGTGTGGTAATGGGTTACTAAATAATATATGAATACATCCGAGTATATACGGCAATATAATTGGTAACAATTTAAAGGTCAACCACTACTCTTGGATATACTATCAACTTCTCTGTTCTATTTCTTTCAGGGGTAAATATATATGCTATAATTTTTTTTATTTTTCACACAAAAATCAGGGTACATTTGACCCGCTAAATATTGACTGATCTTTATCAAAAGTCGCATTATTCTTCTTTGGCCCGATCCCCTTCTCCATGTAAAAATTCGCATAATTGCGGTGGAGCGACCAGAAAAACCGACAAAAATTAAGTATTTGGTCAATTCCACCCGCTAAATATTAACCGATCTTTACCAAAAAATAGGGGTCTTCAGTGGCCAGAACCCATTCTACATGCAAAATTTCGTGAAGATTGATCCATAGCTGTGGCCGGTATCGAGTTTACAATTTATAATGGACAGACGAACGGACGGATACACGTGTCTAGATCGACTCAGCTAGTCGAGATATGACGATCGGTATACTTAGAGGTTGGTCTAGGATCAATATTAATCGATCTTTACAAAAAAACAAAAGGGGTCTTCATTGGCCAAACCCCATTCTACATGCAAAATATCGTAAAGATTGGTCCATAACTGTGGCCTATATCGTGTTTACAAATTATAATGGACAAACGGACGGACACACATATCTAGATCGACTCAGCTGGTCGAGATATGACGATCGGTATACTTATAGGTAGGTCTAGGACCAATATTTCGCGGCGTTACAAACTCCTGGGGCTACACAAAGCTATAATACCCTGACAACAGGGTATTATAAAAATCAATATTTTAGATTTTTTTAATCTATCACAGATAGTCTATCATTGAAGACTTTTTGAATGTCTTTTGTACACAATAAAGTGGGACATTTTGTCTATTTATAAAAATTCTTAATAATTTTTTAATATTCACATATATTATTACTTAATAATATTTATTATTATTATTTTTTGCTGATTTATGTTTCCTTAGAAAAATATAAACCACAGCAAAACTTTTGCACACATTTAGCCTTGCACGTCATCAAGATTTCAGTTGCGTTGATTAATATCGGTCATTATGAAAGATTGCCGTAAAATTATTATTAATAACGGTTGTGGTTGGAAATATTTGGTTTTTTTCTTTTCGAAAACAAAAACAAAATAATTTACTCTTGCCCAACTCCATTGCTATTCTAACTAATTTTGTCTAACACCTTTGGATTACCAATCGAAATTCCATAGAAGTTTTACATAATTACACAGCTCTGATGAAGGTCAATTGTAATGAAATTAATACAAAAAAATAATAATAATAATAATGCCAACCCCACATCCTTAATAACAAAAGAAATTCAAATGAAAGAGAAGTGATGGAAAAGACAAAATGAATTCATTATTCAGTAATGAATTTCAAAATAAAAACCACAAGAAAGACCAATTACTTCATGTGTGAGTTGTAGACAATTTTATTTTTGTTGGTTTGGAAATGTTTGAAGAAATTTAATTGAAAGAAAGAAAGATTTTAAAAAGTATTTTAATTAAATTTGGGGAAACTTTTTTATCCTAATTCTATATATTTCATAATTATTTCAAATAATTTCAAAATAAAACTGGAAACATAAAAAATCTATCTTTGATTCTAGTAAGAATGTAGAAAAAATTAGAATTTAAATACCCAATTGCTGTCGCAACACCACCTATCGGAAGTGTGGTTATATATGAGCCATATATTGCCATCTAATAATAATAATAATGTACATACATATATATGT